CGTTTCTATTGACATGGTTGCAGACTATCTTAGTTTACACGTGCTACTAAAACATTATGGTTGCATAATGTTTAGAATTAGCACCATTCACTATATATTGAACAATTTTCATTTCATAAAAAAACTTTATTCACTGTTCGTAGTGAATTATGTTTTAACAAATTAACTTAAGCAAATGAGATAAATATTAATCACTTTTCAGCGTGATATCAAATCTTCATTCGAATCTGAAGAAAAAGCTTAAAATGTATGATATGCTTTGAACTAAATGGGCAAAGAATGTAAATAAGAACAATGTAATAAATAAGTACTTCTTGTGTATTTGTTGAATAAATAACATATTTTTTTTATATTATTCTAGTTCGTATTAACATTGCAGTTTCCATCATCGACGGAGGTAGTATGCAGGATAGGCTGATGCGTAAGGGTAGGCGGAGTAAGCAGCGAACGGGGCGCTGTAAGCTGAGTAGGCGGAGTACGCTACAGGCGCTGTGTACGCCGCGGCGATGGGGGCAGTGTACGCTGCTGCTACAGGCGCTGAGACCAGCACTTGTGGCTTGGCAGCGGCGAAGACGAGGAAGCAGGCGAAGATGAACTGTAGAAAAAAAACATATTGAGTAAAATTTCTTTCTTATATAGGGCTCTCCTCCGTTGTGGAGTTTTAGTAAGACTTATTTTGGACTACCACTAGACACTACTATTCATGCCACAATGCGGTATAACAGAGTATTATATACATATACTCTTATATGGTAGAAAGTTACTTACTAGCTTGAACATCTTGATATTTGATTTTAATTAAATTCGAAGTAAGTAGTAAGACACATGAAATGTGTGTGATGTTCACTGTTGGGATTCAAGTCAATATATACTCGCCTCCGGTCTACCTTCTATAGAGAGACGGCCTTGTGGGACGCGCTAAGAATACTCAAACAGTATAATGGTCATTGAAACATCATCAAAATCTACTTATGTAGTTTTATTAAATAAAATTTATTATAATAATATAAATAATTAATAATAATAATTACTACGACCCTAAGTAGTAATTATTTAGCTAAAATAATCATTCAGTCCCAGTAAATCCATAGGGATTTAAGCATTAGTTATTACTTATTGCTACTAGGTCCTAATCATAAAATTCTTGTATAAGAAAAAAATAAGGTCGAGACGGCACCCTATCACTAAGCCTGAACCGCGTTGCTTTTTACTTTAAACTAGTGACTCACCCTCGCTCCGCTCGGATTCGTCCCTACTTACGTTTTAAAGTTTAGTATAGATTCCTCAGAAATGAGATTTATTTCCGCAGTAAGAAGTATCCTTTATGTTGATCCTGATAACCAGGTATCATCATACAAAATTTCATCAAAATCCCTCCAGTTGATGCGGTCACAGACAGACAGACAGATAAAATTCTTAAAACTATAGATTCGGAAAAATATTTAATCTACAGATTCGGCTTATTTACAATTTTATTATATGTACCTATAGATTATTTTTTTATTTATCCGATTCAGACGTATAGACATTTCGATCTATTTTTGTCAACTGTGATTGATTCTCAGAACGCTAGCGACGTACATACTTTGGCTGAACCTTAGCTTAGTAATGACTTTATCTCGGCCTTGGACAAGATAACTATAAATTTAGACGTAAGCTAATTCAATTCTTGTTAAGGGTTTCACAGTGTGCTAGTTGGGCACGTAAAGTTAGTTGGGCATGTAAGAGTCAAACTTTTATTCGATTTAAAGTATGAAATGTAAGGTATTTAATCTTTTAAACACATGAAATATTATTAACCAGCGACTCACCCTCGCTCCGCTTGGGTGCGTCCCTACTTACGTATTAACGTTTAGCATAGATTTCTCAGAAATGAGATATTTACCCGCAGTAAAAAGTATCCTATATGTTGACCCGGACCAGCTATCATCATACCAAATTTCATCAAAATCCCTCCAGTGGTTTTTCCGTGATGCGGTAACAGACAGACATACAGACAGACAGTCAGCCAGACAGACAGACAAAAATTCAAAAAACTATAGATTCGGCCTCTGAATCGATAATCATGTTTATTACAAAAAGATTTCCCAAAAAATATTTAATGTACAGATTCAGCTTAGTTACAATTCTATTATATGTATAGATGATGAATTTTAACTGCATCCAGTAAATCCCACATAACCATCTACACTGGAAGAAGGGCATAAAAACATTCTCCAGCGATAAAAAGAGAAATTATCCCCATGTCTTATAGCATAGTTAATTTATATATTTTTTTTAGTTATTTGTATAGTTAACAGAATTATAATTTAGAAAATTAGCAAATAAAGAATAAAATATAAATTACTAAAAAAGTGTGTAAACAAAGCATTTAATGATTACCACCCACTAGCATCCCTTATAATAAAAATTTAAAGTAAAATATGAAACTCTGTGTAGTAATATCTTTTCTAGCCTCCTGAATAGATAGAAATAAAATATACATTTATGAAAACAAAATGATAAATGTAATAAGTGTATACTTATCATTTTATTGTTTTCATAAGTAGTCGTAAATGGAGTAAACGAGCAGACAATCCAAAAAAAAAATTCAAATTTTCAATTCAATTAAAAAATATTCCGCTAAAGATTAATAAGAAATTTGTAACCACGATTCACGAACTCCACTCTCATACTCTAACTCTAAAGCACGTATACGGAAAAATATCGGGGCTATTAATTAATATTATTGATCGCATATCCGTCGCTACAAATGCATAAAGGTATTTATATATGCAATATCTTATCCACCCGTTTTTTTGTTGTTTTTTTTTTCTTTGAGTTTGTTTCTTTTTAGATTTAACTGTTATTTTTGTTATTCATTATTATTATTTCTTAGATAGTGTATAAACCTGTGTTACATTATGATGCACGTTGACATTATTTTTTTTTTTTTTACATTTTACTATATCTTGTATTAAGTTTTTAGATAAGATGTTATAGTGTTTTAACAAGTGTGTGCCCAGTAAATAAATATATATGGTAAAGTAATATTCTTTCAATAAAATTAATCATATAATAAATATTAAATATACAATACACTTATATTAAAATACTTTAGATTTTTAGAATATTTTTATAATATGCAGAAGAATAATATCTTACTCTTAATTAACCAATATATCAATAATTTCGCGTACTTACACTCTATTTTAATAAAGAATATATTTATTTTTAGCCACAACGATTTTCATTTGATTCTAAAATGGATGCTGAATCTAATAGTATAGAATATACTAATAATAAACTGAAATAAAATCTTGACATGAAGAATGATAACACACTGTAGAAATTATTTGATCTCCTCTAGACTATTTCAAAGTTATTCAGACTATCTGAATGTTATTTATTTGTACAAAATAGAAGTAAATAAATTATATTATATCGCTGAGTTTCTTAAGGTAATTACCTTAAGAAATATTATAATTCTTCTCACACTGAGGAATATATTTTTACAAACTGCTTATAGTATAGATAATCAATAAATGTATTATATACTTAGTATTATAATTAAAATTCATTTATTTATTTTGAACTAATCAAGGACTCTCCTTTCAACTTAGGGTATGCCTAATTATTGTCGTGGTGGGGGGGCTCAGTAGTGCCCGGCAACCCAACCGGGCGCGAAGCCAAGAAACGCACAGGGAGGTGGCCCACTTCGGTGGTCGGTGGTCGGTGGCCCTCTTCGGAGGGCAGTGTACCATGCGGGTTGCTCCTGGTACTTCTCTGATAGCAGAGAGGACTGTGGAGCAACCCCGTGGTTGTTGTGGTCTGCTTCGGCAGACCTGCCGTCGGGGCGTCGTAGTTGAATGCGTAAGCGAACCTACGACGCCCCATTAAGACGGAGGAAGGTTTTGTTGGGTTTTAGTGGGTAGTACTGCCTTTGCCGGTGATTCCCACACCTCGTGCGTAAATGCATTTCCCAACGTTAAAAAAAAAATGCCTAATTACAAGTTATACAAATTTTTGGCAAAATAATTATAATCGACAAGAGCCACTAAAACTATAGGAGTAAAAAGTACTATAGGCCGGCCGTACTCAAACTCAAAGTTTATTGAAATGTGTGTGTGTGTATGGCTATTTTTGATAGACTTCAAAAAGGAAAAGTATTGTTAAGATTGTTGGTATTCAACTGTATTTGGTACTTTTCGTTATTAGAAAGTTTTTATGTGTCTGTATATATGTTCGATTACTTCTTCACGGACGTAATTGCTGGAGGAATTTTGATGAAATTTAAAATGAAAAATAAAAATAAAAATGAAATTAATAGAATCAGTAAAAGCTTAAATTAACTTATGGCAAAGGTTAATAACTCAGCTGATGATAAGACCGAAATTTTAATCAGCGCTGATTTTCAGTTACACCCAGCTCCCTAGTCCTTAGGGTGTGGAGTTTGAGAAATTTAGTATATAAATATACTATGGCCTGGCTTTTGTAAGACCATCCTAGCGAAGCGATGGTAAGTCGCTGGTAAATAATGCATTATTATTGCGAAGTAACCTTACTTTAAGTCAGGTACTATTTCGATTGAAAACACTTCGTAGTCATTGTAATAATAAAGTCAAGGATAAACTGTATCTGTGCTAATCTTAGCTATGTTTCTACATAAAAGAGTACAAACTAACAAAAACATGATAACATTAATGATATCTGTATATAACAATAGTATGAAAAACAACTCTTATAATTTTTAAAGCTTCCTGAGATAAAGGACACTTAATTAAAAAGTAATAGATACAAGGATATTTCTACTAAAATGTGGGATACGTATAAAATGCATTGTGTAGTTGTATAGGTTTAATTTCCTTCCCTATTTTCGAGGTTAATCGTAATTCAAAGTGCGCATTGACGGTGGCCAGAAACATTGCGTACAACGGCCTTCATTACTATAGTATAAATTTCCCTGTGTATCACAAATTTGCATCATTCAGCTCAGCAGAAGCACTTGATAAACTACCAAAATGCTTAAACTTGTAAGTATTAAACATAAACATTAACAGCTTTTATTTGTAAGCAAGATTTCTCTATATGATAATTACTAAACATTGAACAAATATTCCTAATTATAGCATTTATAATTTGTATTTAGTAAATAAAATTCAATAGTATTTAATATAACAATAAAATTTAATAATATAAATAATGAGTAACTCCAATTATCTTTTAAGTAATAATATCACACATATACTATATTTTCTGTCTAGTCATCACGATCATAGCTAAAAGCTATAAAGTTTTGTAACAAACTAGCGACCCTCGATTTGCACTAAGTATTACTCCAGGTCCATATTATATTTACTAAAGTTCATCCAAGTCCGTCCCACCGTTTCATCATGAAGGAGTAACAAGCATACACACACATACAAACTTTTTCATTTATTTATTGGTTCGATAAAATAAGGACATATTAAATAATATTACGTATTAATTGTTTATTACAGTTCGTATTCGCTTGCTTCTTGGCTTTGGCCGCAGCAAAGCCCCTGCTCTCAGTGGCTTACACTGCACCAGTAGCCGCAGCGTACACCGCCCCCGTAGCCGCAGCCTACACGGCGCCCGTAGCATACTCCGCATATAGCGCACCCATTGCTGCCTACTCCGCATACACGTATGCTTCCCCCTACGCTGCCTACTATCTGCGCTGAAATCTTAAAAATGGACTGAAGTATTTGGAACGGCTATAATATTAATACATTATGAAATAAACTGTTGAATCATATTGTTAAATAAGTATTTTATTTTAAAACCAATTTGCCTTATATTATAATTCTCATAATTTCTCACAACAAAGTGGTATCTAAATATTAAGCTATAATCTCTATTAAATATTTCTTAATATATATTAACATTGAATTTATGAATTCGTGTTACAGAAATCCTTTGTTACGGCTTATAACTAAAAAAAGAAGGAAATTGGGTCATAAATAGAAAACATATAACTTATCAAAAGAAATAGATAAAAAGAATTTCGAACAATGTATTGATAAATTGGCACAAAAATCTTGATGGTTCAAAATAGCACCACCGACAGTGAAGTATAGAAACGAATATAATAAGAATTCAAATAATGTATAATGACTGAAAATAATAAAATTAAAAACAACTACTCTGTCGATACAATATATTTATATACCCACCCTCGGTTTTATTATAAAGACGACCAGAACAAAGAGTCTCCCTTCATTATTGTGTTACAAAAATTCTGGCTCAGCGACAGCGACACTAATATTCGTGACACATTACAAGAATTTAAGTACACATAAAGCATAGAATATGGAAAATAACGCTTGACCTAAAATATATAAACCTACTTTAATATAAATAGTTGTAGCATCTAATTCATTTGTCTTATTATATTTACGAAATATTAAATTGTACAACAAAAACAGATACTACTATATATTATATAACAACTAGCGACTCACCCTCGCTCCGCTCGGGTTTTTCCCTAATGTGGGCCACCCTTATCACTTAGGGGTATGGAAAATAGATAGTAGCCGATTCTCAGACCTACTGAATACGCATATAAATTTTGGTAAAAATCGGTAAAGCCGTTTCGGAGGAGTACGGTAACTAATATTGTATTTCACTATATTATTGTGACATGGAAATTTTATATATTAGAAGATGTATTTATTATCCATACCTTAATATTATAAATGTGAAAGTTTGTTTGTCCTTCTTTCACGTCGAAACAGAGTGACGGATTGAAGTGATTTTTTGTGTGGAGATAGTTGGAGGGCTGGAGAGTGGTATAGTCTTTATATTATGATCAGAATAACTTAAAACTTGGTATTAATGCTCTTCAAAACAATTAAATAAGTACGTGTTTTAACATTTTTCGAAATTCATCCCATAAGGGGTTAAAATAGGGGATGTATGAAACCTATCTTTTTAGAGATTTTTTTGTAGTTTTAACGCAAACGAAGCCGTGGGTTATGCTAGTTTATATATAAATGGCTATTGTATATAGCACTATTACGTCCCAGTCCTAGTGCTGGGCACGGACGTCCCTTTAATGCGAGGGGGATCAGGCCACGTACAGTTCACCACGATGGCCATGTGCGGGTCGGCGGACTTCACGTCTTTCGAAAACTTAATAAGTTCACATGCCGGTTTCCTCATGATGTTTTCCTTTACCGTAAGTGGTAATCATGTTGAAATAGACATTTATGTATTTTTTTTTTCAACAAAAATATCTATATTTTTCGCAAAATTGATGTCGTATTTATATTTGTATAATTATGGAGATTTGGACTAAACATATCGTACGTACATATAATGTATAATAAAATTCTAACTGAGTCGAATGTGTACCTTAAATATTTTTTGGAAAATCTTATTTAAATAGTCATTATTATCCTTCAATCAACAATACTTTGTTGATCGAAGTTATTATCGATACAGAGACCTAATCTATAGCTCTTAGATATTTGTCTTTCTGGGAACGCATCATGAGAAAACCACTGAACAGATTTTGATGAAATTTATTATGATGATAGCTGGTTATCCGGGTATAGGATACTTTTACTACAGAAAAATATCTCATCTATAAGTATACTAAACGTTTAACAATAAATATAAATATTATAACTAAAAATTTACTCACTTTAAGTAAAGAAAAAAATATTATAAATTTCAAAAAAAAATTAGCTTATTCATTATTCCTTATAAAAATATAGGTTGTCATACAACAATTTTAAAACCATTAGAATAGTAGATACTAGATACGTATAATGTTCTAATAATTATGTTATAGCATATTATTATATAACCAGGTCATACAAAACAAATCTGTAAAGATGTTGACTTCTAGCGTTTACTCAAACAACTTATTTGTTATGTCATAAATAGGTCCTTTGAATTGGAATATGAGCAGCGGCAAATAATCTATTTGAGAATGAAACTGTAATTAGTTAAGGCATACAAATGAGTGAACAATAGTCATCAAAAAAAATTCTAGCATATTGGACCTTGGGTAATTGGGTTAAGTAACGTAGGATTTTCGTTTTATTTTACTTTTAACTAAATTATTTACCTACTAGATCCTTCAGGCAGTAGGCATTGTATCCTTTAGTAATTCGGAATATAACAAAGGGAATAAACTTCAATGTTTGTTTATATTTTTATATAATTTATTGTACCTTTTCTCAATTCAATTCAAATCTTTTATTTCGAGCCAAATAGATCGTTAAATTACGTAAGAGTGACAAACATCAAATTTTATTGTATAAATTACCTTATTGGTCTAGTGGATACTAATGTTAGCTGCATAAACGGTTACACAGGTGATTCCAATATGAGGTCCTTAAATCGAGCCAAAAATATCTTAAGCACAAGCTTATTTATTAATAATTTAAAAGTAATTAATTTTTCCACTAAGAATGACTTTGTTCCATTTGTTTGCATACACGCTATAATATCTCCTGCAATGTGTCAATTTTAAAGACAAAAGAATGATTTCTTTTTAACCCATAATTTTCGACGACATATCGAGAGCAATTCTGTCCTATTTAAACTATTAATTCTATATTTTTTTCTAGTTTAGATAATTTAGGATAATACAATTAAAGATAATTACAAAAACATATTATGTAGGTTGCTAACATATATTTATTCATCGTATATTTCTTATTTTTAACGTAAATAATACGCTGCGTAGGGTGAAGCATAGCTGTAGGCGGAGTATGCGGCGGCGACTGGGGCGGGGAAGGCGGAAAATGCTACTGGTGCCGTGTACGCTGCAGCCACTGGTGCAGTGTACGCTGCAGCTACAGGGGCAGTATACGCCACAGAAATAAGAGGCTTGGCTGCGGCCAGAGCCAAGAAGCACACGAACAGGATCTATAACATATGAAACTTAATTTCTAATATTCTTAGAAATATCTATAATTTCCCTAGTAATTACCCATAAGCTTACTGACCAATTAGACTCATGTCTCTTGTTTGTACTCAATAATTACATTATAATTAACTTTGTGGTTGCTTCTGCAACTAAAGTAAATTACTAAAAAAACAAATGTGGAAAATAAGTAAAGATCGCGGTAGTGCCACCTTTGTTTCTGAATTACATTATCTGCTAATACAGAGATCGTTAGATCAGTCCATGTTACAAAACGTGGGTGCTAATATTGAATACAGAATATAAATATACGGTATGTGAGTCGATCATAAGTCATATAGGAATTAGGACCACCATTGTATCACAATGAAAAAATAAAATAAAGTAACTAACCAATTTGTACATCTTGTTGGTTATCAAGCTGATAGTAGACTGATGTTTTTTTTTAAAGTTTAAAGCGAACTTTATATAACGTAATGAAGGTCGTAGAAAATAAGCTCTGATACATGATAAGAAGCCTTTCCAATTGAGATTTTATATCCTTATTCTTAATTTTGCTTTTATATAGTATGCAGTGTTAAAATAAATGCATGCATTAGTATTACTAAATTATAATAGTATTATATATGTCTATTTGATACCAATTACCTGATTTCGATAAAATTTGACAAGGACATAGATTGCACCATGGGTACCGACACAGGCCACCTTTCACCCTCGTTGCCATCGTTGCCATGCAAACGGAGCCGCAGGCAAAAAGTAAATATGTTTATAAGTAAATATGTAATATAAAGACGCGTAGGTTTTAATAACATGTAAGTATAATCCAGTATAGATATATTCAAAGTCCATTACGTCTTTATTGTATTAAAATATGAAAATATACATATATTATGTATAAAAATAAAAATATTATCACAATTGTTTAAATTTACAGACACGTTTGCGCAAATGGTTTCTAGTTCAAATACACTTTTTGAATAATATTCAAATCTTTACGCAACAATTGTACTTTATGAAAATTTCTTAATATTCTATTATCAACACACGGAATATCATGTCGTGTGTCTCATATCATACGTAAAATCAGGAAAACCATGAATGACCCGTAAAGATCTAAATTAAATAGGCACATTGACCTCCAGCTATTGCAACGAAGTATAGCAGTATATCACAGACACGCGCGCACTGACCTCTGACGCAATGTATGAACGAACATCGCATTATGAGAAGGACGATACATACAATAGAGAGACAGTAAAATTTATTACACTTAAATTTAAAAAAACATCTCTAACACAATAAAAAACGAACCCTTAAAAAGTAAAAAATAATTTACATTTACACAACCAAAGAAACCCAATGTGTTCATTAACCCTTTTAATGAAATAAGATACTTAGGTATATCCCAACATAAAAAAAAACTAAATTGAAATCGATTCATCTGCTTGGACGCTACAATACCACAGACACAGATTTATATATATATATATATATATATATATATATATACACACAAACGATAACCTTAAAACACCTTTCTTTTTGCGTCGACTCTTAAAAATGAAAATAAATTTAATGTATAAGAAAATCGATCCTTAATTTCCTATTATTACGGTACTATAAATAACACATAGTAAACATATAAATATTTGTAATTTAAATATAAATTATATGTAAAATATTTTGAATACAAATATTAATGGTGTTTGAGTATAGTATGCACAAGTAGTGTTTGATTAAACATTATATCTAATTTTTGTGTCTTTTGTTGATTAAATAAAGAGATGTTCATACAATGTCATAAATTAAATATACATACATGCAAAGTAAATACTAAGTATTGGATAGTACCATCCCAGACATAAGTCTTGAATTCGGAGCAGCGTAGTCTCTCTGCGTAAGTTAAGAAACAATCAAAATCATGTCGTGAATAATATCCTTCTAGTATTTAAAGTGAAGAGATTCTTTTTCCACTTCATTCACTTTCTTACCTTTGTCGAAGTAAACAAATCAAATACAACCCTTAAAAATGTTCAAGCAGGTAATTTATCTACTAAAAAAATATTATAAGGCCTCAATAAATACATAAATTATACTAATTTAAATAAAATTAATTCCTTAATTACTGTTATTTGTTAATTAAATATATTCATTCTTAATTAATTATTCTCATAGGTGATCTTCGCTGCCCTCCTCGCCGTCGTTGCCGCCAAGCCTGGTATCCACTCTGTGGCTTATCCTGCACCCATAGTTGCTGCACCTGCATTCGCCTACAGCGCTCCCTATGCTGCATATACTGCACCTGCTGTTGCCGCATACAGTGCAGCATACACCGCTCCTGTTGCTGCAGCATACACCGCACCGGTTGCTGCTGCCTATTCGCCATTCGCTTACTCTGCGCCCATAGTTTCTGCAGCATATAAAACTCCAGTCTTACTTAAGTGAAAAGATGTTGGAAGTACCTGTTGTGATAAAAATTATGTAAATAAATGATTCGAAGGCAATTTTTATGGTTTTTTTATTCATAGTACTAATATTACCTGTGCTTATTTTTCGTATATTTACATTATATTTAAGTAATGTTGACTCTTTGATTGAGAAATATCTGTTTCAAAAATGTTCAGCTCAAATCCATCTTACAATTATATATTAATAAAATATTTTTTTAAATGTTAAAACATACCAACTTTCGCCCAGAGCTATGACCGCGACGAAGATAAAAATTGAATTTAATTTAAATTTTAAAGTAAATTTCAACCGAATACTTCATCTACCAACGTAAACTCCCAATTACGTCGACTTAATCATTTAACCAGTGCAATGAGGCAGTGGTAGCCCAGTGGTAACGCGCTTGCTTGGAAAACCGAGTGAAGATGGTTCAAATCCCAGGTCTCGCACTTCTGATATTTTCATGTGCGAATCATTTCTAACATGATTACGATTTGCCTTACGGTGAAGGAAAACATCGTGAGGAAACCTGCATGTCTGAGAGAACCTAGCAAGTTTTTGAAACACTTGTGAAGTCCGCCAACCCACACATGGCCAGCGTGGTGACCTGATTCCCCTCGTATTGAAGGAAGGCCCGCGCACAGCAGTGGGACGATAAAAAGGGCTGAATACAATCATTTCACAGATGGACTTTGGTATTGTCTAAATTGTGTCAAAATTCCATTGTGTGTATGAGCACAATATGGGGTGGCTATTTCGAACAGACATGCACTTCAATATTAATTATAAGTATAGATTAAACCTGGAAGTAACATAACAAACTTTAAATAGATGCTACTTGTATGTGGTCTTGACATTGTGTTGAATGAGGGAAACGTTTGAAACTATCGCGTTATGTTATCACAGCATTAATAATATCTATTTGGCAGGAGCTATTTTAAGCAAATGACAATAGGACAATATGCGACACACATATGACATCATGCTACAGATATTATAAAGCTATTATAATATCTACATGTGTCGATTAAAGGCAGGAATAAGACGTCATATTCCACCCCCCAACCAGTACCATTAAAAAGCTTGAAAAGTATAGTATTTATTTAAATATTATTCAAAAGTAATGATAGGTCTTTAAACATCGTATTATAGTCCTAGAATATTGCTGAATTATTTTAAATGTGTTTTTATGTAGCTCTTAAGACCATTCTAGACGAATTCCTATAATTAGTTATCTATTCATGATAATTAATCTGTGTTAAGTAATTTTCATTGTTATAAACGAATATTTTATATTAATATAATATTCATTGCGGCACAGCTTCAACAAGCTCAGTGGGGCAAATAACTTCTGTTCAATAAAATAAGGTGGCAGGTTCGATTCTTGAGATATTTAAATTGGAGGTGCCTAGAATACACGTACAGTTTACATATGCAGTGTTTTGATGCTGGCGGAAAACGTAGATTAAAGTCATAAGAACTGTTAAAAAGCGAAGATTTATCGATTTATGTTATGGAGAAGCGTGGATCGATTCTCATTTTATTAAATAAGAAAAGTTATATCTACTCTATCTGAAAATGCTGGTATTATGACTAATGAATTATTTGTATTTGTAAAGTGTACAATTCATTAATCTGCCAATTTGCACTAACCGAAGAGGCAAAGATCGACTATAAAGTTTATATACAATTTTCGCCTTTTCGGCTTGTGGAAATCGGCAGATTATTGTTTTGCACACTTTTCAGAACGTAATTAGCCCACCATACCTTAATCTGACGGTTTGAAGTATTTCTACCTTATCAAAATATTTTTTTAATATTTTGATTGGCTGCCCTAGACGCGCGCCCTTTTATAGAAGACTTATATTATGGTGGAGGTACTCAACAAAGTGCAAGATAGCCCCCCTTATTTTAATCTGCCGCGCTTTAGTAGCTCCAAAAATATCCTCCATTGGGCTCCCCTTTTTTTTTTAACGTTGGGAAATGCATTTACGCACGAGGTGTGGGACTCACCGGCGTAATAAAGCCAGTACTACCCACTAAAACCCAACAAAACCTTCCCCCGTCTTAATGGGGCGTCGCAGGATCGCTTACGCATTCAACTACGACGCCCCGACGGCAGGTCTGCCGAAGCAGACCACCACAACCATGGGGTTGCTCCAAGGTCCACTCTGCTATCAGAGAAGTACCAGGAGCAACCCACATGGTACACCGCCCACCGAAGAGGGCCACCTCCCACCGCCCACCGAAGTGGGCTACCTCCCTGTGCGTTTCTTGGCTTCGTGCCCGGTTGGGTTGCCGGGCACTACTGAGCCCCCCCACCACGACAAGGTGAACGCACGTTGGGGGGGGGATCCCTTACTATTAGAAAAATATCTACATTTACACTATCAGAAGTTGTTAAAATTTAAGTACACAGGAGTATTAGGTATAATAATATCACTCTCTATCTTATCTGTGCTAACATAGCAAGAATCTTATTTTTTAAAACTTCTAACTCTATAAGAGAGACGTTACCAAAATTCACATCAAGCACCTGCACATCTTAAAGCCATAAAAAAAAATTTCATTTTATGCAAGTATGTTTTTGTATATCATACAATTATATACCGTTACGCATATCCCAATCAACATCAGCTATTATTTTAATATACAAGTTCAAGGTTACTTGAAGAGTGTCCTTCACTGACCAACACTGTTTAAGGATGTAGAAATAATTTAAATGCGACGGTATCATTTACGTACGTCGAATGTTCTACACAGTGTTAGATCTTTGCGCTGTGATTGTATTATTTATACAGGTGGATATTTTTGATAACTCAACAGGACAAAATTTTGTGACAATTTTAAAGTTACTGCCTTTTAAATTATTATTTTTTTAACATTTTTGCGCGTTTCTTACTCATCTATACTATAATATTATAATAAAGAGGTAAAGTTTGTGAGTTTGTGACGTTGTACGGAGTAATCTCTGAATCTACTAAACCGATTTAGATGAAATTTGGTAAGAAGATAGTTTGAGACCCTGGAAAGGACATAGGATACTTTTTATCTCGGAAATCACCCCTTAAGGGAGTGAAAATGGGGATGAAAGTTTGTATTGGGAAGCAAGCTAGGGAACCCGAGCGAAGCGAGGGTGAGTCGATAGTAAATTATAATATAACTTATTTATAAATATATTATAAATTATATAATGTAATATAAGCTTATTCTTTACTTACATAAAAGTAACATCTGCTAATTACTTGATAATCTCTAAAAATATTGAACCAGATTTAATGGGACTGTCACTGACCAATTTACCTTTTCATCCTAAAGAAGTAAAAAGGTGATTTGGTGAAATAGTGACATACATAGGTTATATTTTATACAGGGATAAAAGAACTATTTCTTCGGAGTAACGGATAGAAGTTATTTGTTTTTTTTTATCCAGGTTAGTAAGTGTATGCCGAGGTGCCGCCGCTGAGCATTTAGTATTAAATATAGATAAATAATAAAATATTATGAGAATAATCCTTAAAAAAGTATTGTTAAAATACTTTCTTAAGCTCAAATTAGTACAAAAATATATAAAAGCCACTTTTGTAACCATTTAATCTTTTTTCGAGAATTATTGATAGAATTATTGAGAGTTGCTGATATTGATTTTAAGTTATCTTAACTAAATATTAATAAGTTATTAAAGACTTATAAGATACTAATAATAAGTTATTAAATATTTTATATATAATAGTAAATCGTCCATTTTTTTATTATAAATACTTAGGTAGTTGTTTTTTTTTGAGTAAGTCAAAAATTATGAACTTGAGATAATGTTGAATAATTATATCTTACTCGTAGTTACAATACAAAAGAAATAATAAAGTATGTAGGTTCATAAATTAGATCATTATGAATTGTACCCATCGTTATTAACATTTAAAAAGATTTTCTTATCAATAGGGTTTTAATCGTATGACACATAATATGCCATGCAGATGACTGTTATAGAATAGCATAATTATAATATTGAATTGAAGCTTTGATCAGAGTTTAAAAAGTTAAACTTTGTAATCTAAGTTACATTTAATTATGCTGCGCTGCAAAAAAATTGCGATCCTAATTCCTACATAATATCAAGCTAAAAACACACTGCCTCCACTTTCAACTGCATTTAGAATTACGCCTGCATGATATATTTCCACTAGATTGGTGAAAACTAAATTTATTAAGCGCCTAATTTATTAAAATATGTAATTCATCCGTCACTATATAAATATTAAATAATTTATATTTCATTTCTAATTTAACTTATTTTCTCAGCCTTTATAAACCTATGTTCAATGTAAGTAAATTCAAGTCGCGTGCAAGTCCTGATCGCACATGTCCTTGTGAGGTGCGCGGGCGCCGAAACGATGCCAACACGGGGTCACTACTGTCCCCTATATATTAGCAGGATTAATCACCACAGTCAGTGTTCAACGGACAATCAAAACAATCAAAATGTTCAAATATGTAAGTATTTGTGATTTTTGAAAAATTAAATTAATTTTATTTAACAATAATATTTATTTAAATTGGTTTATTTGCTCTTATTATTTATAATTTTTAATGTTATTATGTTGTTTGTTTAGAATTTATTTTTACAATATATAAATCTAAATTATTCACTTTATTATTATACTCGTAAGTATGTCACTATTCCTCGTTCGCCTTTAAAATATTTATGATTCATCTGAGTACTACATTGTAACTTAATATATTAATTAGAATTGCCAAGATTATGAATAAGTATAGCATAACTTGCTTGTATCTACATAATATTACAGCACTAATTTAAATATATTTATAATAAGTAATGTTTATTTTTACTACAGTATTTACACTCATTTGCAAATATTTTAAGCATTTTAGTGTAAAGGAGTTTTCGTTTTATGTGACAAAAATTTTAACTAATTTTTTTTTTAAATGTATTCAATACACGTATATTATCGGTTTGGTTCATCTAGTCACCGTCAAAACAAAGGATGGTATTCTTGTTGATCGGAACCATTCTTTTATTCTTATTAATTGCCAACATTGAATTACTTTCCCTAAACATAAATAAATATTAAGATAGTGGTAACTAAGTGGTGATGCGCTCGCTAGGGAAACCGAGAGAAGCGGGTTCAAATATCGGGTCTTACGCCTCTGATAATCTTATGTGCGAATCATTTTCAACATGCTTACCACTTGCCTTACGGTATAGAAAACATCGTGGGGAAACCTGCATGTCTGAGAGAACCTAGCAAGTTTTCTTTACTAACTTTTATGGATTATATCATATACCAGTCATTTTTATTTTGTTTCATTAGATTAATATTATGAATATTATTTTACAGCTGATCTTCTTCGCTATCTTGGCTGTGGCTTTTGCCAAGCCCTTAGTGTATACTGCACCATTTGCTGCGGCGTACACGGCCCCAGTTGCCGCAGCATACACCACTCCCGTGGCGTACTCAGCGTACAGCGCGTACTCTCCGGTCGCTTACTCTGCCTACACTTACGCATCTCCTTACTCTTATTATCTTTGAAAACCTTGCACATGGACTGATTTATTTCTCGGAAAAATGAAGAAAAGCAAGACGACTTATTTATATTAGTTGTACCTCAATGCAATAAACGACATTCAAAAATCATTATTTTTTTCTTCTCCTTTGTTAAATTAAGGTACTATTTAACCTTAATATTTTAATTATTCATATATTTAAAAATCTACCATATAAGAACAAAATTGATATTCATTGTATGTGTAAATATGTATTGTAAAGTATTAATTTCCATCTACTACTACTTAGTAACGGACTCGTATTTAAAGATATTTCTCTACATAATAATTACGATGGAAGTCATGGTCGGGTGGAATAGTAGAGAGAATGTTAAATGCATAATTTTTTCTTCGAGGAACGATGTATGACAAGTTATTGGCTTTTATGATTTTTTTAGCAATTTATAACTTGGTTGGGTGAAGGGTTCAGCTATTTTTACCGTCACTTTCACATTAGTTGTCTTCCTGAAATGAGACATGAACATTAAACCAAAACTTTTAGTGTCCCACAGTAATTGCTGCATGAAAGAATCACAAACTAATAGACATCAATCATATTTGCATATAAAAACTTTTTAAATAAACACTTAAAAAAACCGACTTCCAAGCACTAAAATGTAAAAAATAACTAAACAGAGGTTTTCATTTAGAATAGATACCTAATGAGATATTTTCGAACTCTACGACAAACCCGAGCGAAGCGAGGCTGTGCCGCTAGTTAGTAATCATTATTCATTTAAATAGTACTCTAACCAGTACAACTTCGCTTTAAGGATATTATGGGTAGTAATCAAATCTTGTCGTCCTTTGTGTTAATGAGGACTAGTTAACATATTTTACGGTGTATATTTAATAAAGTATCACTATGATTAATATTTTATTAATTTTTTATTTAACTGCCTCGGTGGTGTAGTGGCTAGCATGTACGGCTGCACACCCGGAGCTCCTGGGTTCGAGTCCCGGGTCGGGCCAAATTTAGTTATTGAGTCTTTCTGTATAGTAAGCCTCAGTAACAGCCCGGAGTTGGGAAGCTGGCGGTGTTTCACCCCCGTGCTTCGGAGCCCGTAAAGCCGTCGGTCTTGCGCCTTAATTCTCACTGGTCGTGTCGAGCATTCGTCTCACCGGAGTATGAGAGTGACAGGAATAGAGAGTGCACGTTGTGTCTGCGCGTACACGCGCTGCACTATAATATCTCCTGCGCAGTTGGGTCATCTCAATGAGATAAGCCGCCGTGGTCAGGAGAATATCATTTAAAAAATCTAAAAAAAGCTTGCCAAATATTTAAAAATGATGCACGACTTCTAATGAAGATATCCCTTTTCTACCTATGTAGGTACATACAATAAAACAGTAAAAAAAATGAAATTTTGCAAATAATATTCATTACATATTTTTTATTTTGTAACTCATTATTAACTTATAAACTGTTGCTTAAAGAATTTATATTCTTATGTTGTACACTAGTTTGTTGTTTGTTTGTTTGAACACGCTAATATCAGGAACTAATAATCTGATTTGAAACATTATTTTTGCATTAGATAGCCCGTTTGTTGAAGAAGATTATATAGGCTTTATATCATATTATAATATCTATCAATTTCATATTATGATGATGATGTTCTCCTAGCCGATTCCGGCCACGGCGGCCAATCTCAATGAGATTAGCCAACTGCGCAGGAGATATTATAGTGCTCAAGTGTATGCGCAGACACAAGTGCACTCTCTATTCCTATCACTCTCATACTCCGGTGGGACGACTACTCGACACGACCGGTGAGAGTTAAGGCGCAGGACCGACGGCTTTACGTGCTCTCCGAGGCACGGGGGTGAAACACCGCCAACTTCCCAACTCCGGGCTGTTACTGAGACTTACTATACAGGAAGACTCAATAACTAAAACTTGGCCCGACCCGGGACTCGAACCCAGGATCTCCGGGTGTGCAGCCGTACATGCTAGCCACTACACCACCGAGGCAGTTTTTTTTTCAGTATTTCATATTAACCGTTAAAACGTACCTAGGCATGAACACGAGCGAAGCAAAGGCGAGTCGCTACTTAATGTATAATTATTCCTCTTGCGGGCCTGTAATGTTACATAGCCTATCTTCTTTAATAGTTTAAAAAGCCAAATCTGCCTGGTAATTTTATGGTTTAAAGATGAAAGCCTTCAAATAAACAAAAAAATTCTTCAGTTTTGTAATAATTATTATTTACAACTAACCTCTAGTTTACGAATATGGTTCAAAAATAAAGAAATCTCGTATAATTTAACACCTCCAGGTAAATTTCTAAGAAATTAATTAAATTCCTAAGAAATCTATTGTCAACTGTGACGCCGACGTGTCCGCGGTCGTTAAGGAATTAATAGAGTTATAATACGAGTATTATGGGTACCAACATTATTCACTTTATGTGCATCAATTTTCCAATTCGACTGTATGTTTTTTTTTTTTTTTTTTTTCCCATTTAAATTTCAAAAAAAATACCACCCCTAAGGGTGGAAAAGCAGCTAATGATGAATTTAACCTACTTCTAATTGTCATATTAACTTTAAATTTGCAAGTGTTTCTATTTCCGTTGATAGTACAGTGGTTCGGTGTTGTTGACCTGATCTGATGGTAAGGCCAGAAGGTGGATAGGTGGAACTCTTCAACGGCTAATAGTAGATACTTCGAGTTTGGGCTTATTTTGTTTGATTTGACAAGCGTTTGAAGTCGGTTTTTATTTTTTTGTTAAAAAGTTTTTATCTATACTGGTTATAAATCGTACATAAATACAACCATGTTTAAACTAATTCTATTGTATAACAAAGAATTTATAATAAAATAATTATTGTACGCTTATGGTGTATATTAATATTAATAAGTATTGATCATTGGAATGCTTTATATAGAGCATAACTAGTTTATTTCATCAATGCATAACTAAATGATTTTACTTTGACGGCCATCGAGCGTAGCCACAAAACTACCTCTCTATTCATATATTCATACAGAGGAGATGAGAAAATTAGCTATTCGTAACAACGACGAATATAAGTAACTTTTAAATCATTGATGATGAATGACGATGAAGATTAAAGTGGGAATCACTTACTTATATTTATCCATTCCACACATAATCTACCTCAATATACTATATACATTCTGCCTTTCTAAAAATACGTTTTTATTATTTACCAGCGACTCACCCTCGCTTCGCTCGGGTTCGTCCCTAGGTTGATTCCAAGTACAAACTTTCATCCTCATTTTTACCCCTTTAAGGGATGATTTCCAGGATAAAAAGTATCCTATGTCCTTTTCCGGGTTTCAAACTATCTTTTTACCAAATTTCATCTAAAGCGGTTTAGTAGATCCAGAGATTATCCCCTACAACGTCACAAACTCACAAACTCACAATTCACAAACTTTACCTCTATAATATTAGTATATGTTCCTCTGTGCAAAACCAAAACAAAACTCCAAAAATCTTCAATTAATGCTTTGAAATTTTTTAAATATATAAATATGTTTTATATAGATAATTTTTAAAGTACCTACCGATTTTGCTGTAACCCGTGACGGGCTACATGCCACTGCATCGCATCAACTTCTTCACCAAACCATTATATAAGCGCATAAACAGACAAAGATACGTTATCTAAGGATAAATATTTAATACTCGTATTTCCAACATACACGTATTCAGCCCTTTTTAACGTCCCACTGCTGGGCACGGCCCTCCCTTCAGTACGAGGGGTATCAGGCCATAGTCCACCACGCTGTTCAAGTGCGGGTTGGCGGACTTCATATGTCTTTTGAAAACTTGCTAGGTTCTCTCAGACGTGCAGGTTTCCTCACGATATTTTCCTTCACCGTTAAGAAAAGTGGTAATCATATTGGAAATGATTCGCACATGAAAATATCAGAGTTGCAGGATTTGAACTCACTTCGCTCGGTTTCCCAAGCGAGCGCGTTACCACTGGGCTATCACTGCCTCGACACCATATGTACAATGTACATATATAGATTAAATTATTACTTCCAGAGTTCACTTTACAGTTTCAGTATTGCATGGTACCATTACATAATGAAGTGACTATTCTTGTATCTTATACGGTACTTGTTATATTATCAGATTTTAATTTTCAGGTTTTTCTAACTCGTTGTGATATGCGTCACTTATATCTGTCTCTTAAGACATCCGGGGGTATACTCGTAGCCTCGCATACATAAAATGTAGAAGAATTCATTATCCTTTGAATTTCAAAGATGAAAAGACACGACAAGGTCAATGGCGAAAAAATTATTTTAGATATTTCAATACATTTCATGTTGGATTATATATTCTTTTGTTTAGAAGAGACCATTCAATAGCATTAGTTTTCAAAGCAGCGATTCTGTCACACATTCTCATCTACTGGTTACTTTGTTTGTATTCCAAATAAATATGACAGGACATTTCTAAAATTGTCAGTCATATATTAAGTTACTTATAGTACACAAGTAGACATCTTTCAAATTTAACATGAAATTATTAATGGTAAGTGTATGTGCAATGTTCAATATAATAATTTTCGTGAAAAATTTAGCAAATATATGAAATTTCGATTTCATATTAAATCATGGTTACCAGTTTATTTATAAGATTGAGATATACATATTTCCCGTTCACTTGTAACATTCATTCTTTCTCCAGGTAACTTTAATGGCGCTGTGTGCAGCGGTAGCTGCTGACCCAGCGGTTATTATTAGTGGAGGTTACTTAGGATCGCCCTTGACTTCCGCTGCCCTTATTGCCCCAGCGGCGCCAGTAGCATCTGTACAATCACTAGCACCTATAGCCGCTGTAGGTTCACTACCATCAATAGCACCAGTAGCACCAGTGGCACCAGTGGCACCTGTTACTTCATATCTTTCAGACTACAGATATGCCTATGGCTCCGGGTATAGTTACCAAGATACTTATCCCGTCGTCAACTCGGCCTTGTCTCTTCCCTATAGTCTACCTTACGCTTATGCTGCTGACTGGTTCTATCGCAATTGAAAAGGATCTCTATCATGTTACTACTCTTTATTGGTACAGCGATGTTGGACGTGTTTAAAAAATAAATCACTAATAGTCAAGCAAAAATATCTTTTACTTATGAATAATTATTTCCACTGACTATAAAAAAAATAACACTAATTAAATTTCAGGTTCGTACTACTACTACTGTATTAAATAATAAATATTTAAAGAAATATATTAAGCTATAAAAAATAAGTTATTATCATTTTTACATACTTAGCTTTATAGTTGCAATAACACTCGTTTCTTTATTCCTGTAGTTCACTGAAGTGACACATGTTCCTCGTGTATACTTATAAATTTAAAAGTTTCCATTGTATACTATTAGCGTTCTTTCAGGGATTCTTTATGCACGTGTATGAGAAAGTGGGGTAAAACCGGAACGCTAAGGAAAATATTTAATTAAAAAATACTTCAAACATTATAAAATAAATTTTTTAGACTTCGTTTACTTTAACTTATTAATTACATATTTGATCAACAAAATCATTGTTTTCATTATTATAAGTAATAAAAAAATATCATTTTCAAAAGTTCACTTTTTACGGTTTTGCCACATACCTGGTCCAAAACTAGGTACACCCACTTTTTATATCCGACTGTGCCCCTTAACAAGGGATCTCATCCAGTTCATTTTGGTCCCAACCATCATCGTCTTCATGGGCCCATTCCTTACACTTAAGACATTGCAATCATCACTTATCGTCTGTAACCTTTTTCTTGTTGGAAATTTTTCGTGAAGCGAAACGATATCCACACTTTCCGTCTATTACTTCTAAAATGGCATTTTTCATAATTTCTTCACTCCAGGATTGTAGGTTCGTCGTTCTTTTATAATTTTGTGGCAATTTGTTGTGAACTTTAACAATTCCTCATACAAAATAATAAATATAACCCGGTTTACCCCAAGCGCACCGAAGAGAAACAAAGTACTCGTAATTATATAACTTAAAAACAGAAGATTCAACAAATGTTCGTTTACCATTAATACACATTTAATCTTTACAACAAAAACAAATTCCACTTACCTTGGCATACGAGATATATAGCATATAGAACACCTTTGAAATCCGTCTATTATATCAAACCTTTGTAAAAACTTTTTTCTGAAATATTTCCAAGGGGTACGCACGCACGTCATTTAACTTTTGTTGACAAACTATTCAAGATGATTGACTGGAAGTACCGAAGCGCGAAAATTTGAAACACATTAGAAAGCCTTAGTGCCGTGTCCCGGTTTTACTCCGATACCCGGTTTTGGACGAATCTCCCCTATGTTCTACTCGTATATAGATAAAAAATTATCTGAATTACTACTTAAGTGTCATACAATTTATGGAAGAATAAGTTTACTTTTATTTCTTTTAGTAGTTTATAAAAGAGAATAATATAAGCTATATCTACATAATATAGTAATCACATACATAAAACGAGCAGCGTAGTCATATGATATGTTTTATTTAAAAAAATCGGCAGGTCTGAAAATAATATCTTATTACTCTTATTGATTTTCACCTAAGGGCTTTCTTGAATAAAATATATTTTCAATTTGAATTATAAGTCGTTCCCCTTTAGGTCACTATTAGCGCTATAACTTGTACAAAGATTATTTATATATAGAATTTTCACATTAGTATATTATATTTTGCTTATTATTTGTTGCTGTATATACGTAGCAGCATAATATAGTTACAAATATTTTTACAAATAAAAAAGTTATATCTTAAAAACTATGAAATTAAATTTAAATTCATAATATTTTATACAGCATTAAATTATTAGGTACATTTACTTACTGAACATTTAATGATAATGTCACGATGTTCATATAACACTGAGTTTACCACCAGGTACGGAAATAAAAGTCTCAAGCGTAAAAGAAATGGCAAAAAGTAACTCAGCGGGTCTAAAATTAATTATAAAAAAATTAGAACGTACTAACGATAGTATAGAAAAATATACCTAGGCAAAATATTCGAACAAGGTCGAATAATCTTCTCTAGAATGCCTCGAGGCAAATGCGGCAAACAGTTATGTCGGTATCTCTTTTCCAACCAATGTTCCCGTGTAAATAGTTATACTTAATTAACAGCTTCAGTGTAGATTTGGTTTAGATTGATCGATAATTGAGTTAATGTAAATATACTTAATTAAAGGATTTCAATCAGCATAAAATATAAATGAAACAGAAAATTATGCATAAAGATTTATTTAGAAATTAATCCAGGTCATTGTACTAGCGTTAGGTCAGTAACAGCCATAACCAAAACAGGACCCAAATTTAGAATAGTTCTTAAGTAAATAATGAAACTCAATTAAGAAACTATCTAAATTCAGCATTAAAAATTATGGCTGTATGGGTTATCTTAGCGGACGAGGTATCCGTTATACGCATACGGGTAAGCGTAAGGAGCAGCAGCGGCATATGCATAGTAGGGATATCCAGCAGGTACAGCACCATAGGCGACGACCTGTGGTTCAGGTTTTGGGTTGGGGCTTGGGCTGGCGAACGCCACAGCCACCAGAGCAAAGAAGGCAAACTGTAAATTAGAAACATATTATTAAACAACGTAACCAATCCTTGTTAATAACTTTGATCTAAGGCGAAAACAACAAATCTAGGGATTAAATACTTTATTTAATAAATCATTTTTTTTATTAACTATCTATAGCTGTTACGTTTAATTACCTATTTACCGTCAATTTTTGACATAGCAACAAAAATAACATTTCATTGAACCGTACAATAACTATAGATATGTGTCACGTGACCTGAAGAGTCAAAGGACTGGATAGAGGTATTGTAGTCCATTGGCTGCGGTTACTATTATATAAACAGTTGAATACCGAACACTATTATGCGACATTATATTTCAGGTCAATGCCTGAAACTTTACCGAATACGATAAGAGATAATTGAATTATTTTTAATACAACAAGCTAGTGACGTTCGCAACATCGACGACCAGACCAGAAAACACGCAATTTAAACAAAATTTTCAATTTTTCTTTATCGGCAAATATTTCTGTTAATTTTAATATCTATAATCAAAATGTTATAAATTTAATAAAAAATAATTTGAGTTAAAACATTAGTGTTTTAGAGTTAATGAACTAGAAAAATATGGTATATAATTTAATACACATATATATTATACTTTTTAAAGCTTTTAGAGTTTTCAGGCCAGTTCCATTTATAGTGGAGAAAACGACATAACGATTGTCCAAAGAAAAAAGTTGCTGTTATTTCAATGTTTACAATAAATAATATAAACAGCACTACCATAGAATATACACACATACATGTGTAAATTGAATACGTTCCCTACAATCAATTTAATTTCATAGTTTGCCTTTGAAAGTCTCTCGAAATAAATTCGTTCTTCAACATAATTTTTACTCTTTAAGTTGGTGGAATAAAAGTGTAAGAGTATATTATTAAATAAAAAATATAATTAAAATGGACTATTTATTTGAAATGCTTTTTGGACGTCTACTTTTATGGCTAAAGTAAGTATTACATAGTACGAGTAATGGACAACTTACCAGTCTGAACAGCATTGTTAAAGAGTCGCTTGGAAGAGTTTTCACAAGTGATATCGATAGAGCCAGTGATCTGATATATATATATGCAATAAGTCCGACCACGCCTTGATTACTTGTCTTGTCTTGCTTAGATAAAAACCGTCCTTGATCTTCAAAGAAGTAATATATTCAATGTACTTATGTCCTATTATAGTACTTAGTATGTGAATAATTGACATCCGCGTTAAACCTAACACATCTGCGTGGACGTATTTGCGTTTTAAAATAGCTACGATTAACACTACAAGTTTGAGTTTTCTTTCTATTATTTTAAAAACTATAACATATTTTAATCAGGCCGTAAAAAACATTTTTAAGAAATTTACGTAATATTTATAATTAAAACCATGCCGCCCTCATAGAGTGGGGGCAAGCAATACAAAATAAATTATTGTATTAGTCAAAACATCTACACCATCTTTTTCAGGATGATCATAACATTCAAATCAAAGAATTGGTTATATTTAAATCTATATATATTATTCTTGTGTAGCGATTTTTTATTATCAAAAATCTTTTTTATTAAATATTTCAACCGTTACTCTATATGTATATACATAAATAAAAACGAAGGTTTCTTTGTATGTTTGTCCTCTATGCATTTCTAAGTTACTCACCCGATTGTGATGAAACTTTGTTGAGTTAATTTCTGTGCAAAAGTTCTCATAACATGAAGAAAGTTCCTAAACCAGCCATCCCGAAGGAAAGCGCTAGTTTTTAATAAATATCAAGGGTGTCAAAAACTCACCAGCAAGTGATATGAAATAATAACTTTCAGTAATTTTGAAGTCGGCGTGCCTATTGTATAATTTACTTTTACAACCCTAATTAAAATAATGAAATAAACTTTAAATATGTCGGAAATTCCTATTAAAGTAATTTATTGATGTTCCAGTTTCAGATTTAACCGGTAGAAAGAAGGATTATCTAGGAAGATCATAGGCTACAATTTATAAACATATTGCGAAACCGGTATGATATTTGTGAATTAGTCGAAGAATTTCGGCCCTAATCAGAGCTTTCGTAACATTTTACATGTATACCTATATAATATTACGAACGCTGTAATAAACTCAAAAGGGTATAAAAATAAAAAAAATATCTTATAGTGAGTACTTACTCACTTTAAAAACATTTAGTATACAACTTTATGCACAAAAAATTAAAGCAATGCAACTTTTGTACAAAAATAAATATGTATACAAAATATATGTACCTACATTTAACAATTTCAGTAAAAGTTGCTTATGACTAATTCAAACTCAACTCGATTAATAGAATGTAAATAATATTTTTTTTTATATATTACTAGCGGTTCATCCTCGCTTCGCTCGCCTCTAGAGAAACAAAAACAAACCTATAACGCGGGAACCGTACATTTTTCCGGG